ATTTCTGTATTTCAGGCACAAGAGATGGAAGACTGCTTGCTTTGATTGGACTTCACGGACTTGATGACATCCAGCCATTGGACGCCTTGCGTCTCATGGGACTGGATTTCATTATTCTTTTGACTACGGTGGGGGTTTTAGTTACATCTGAAAAACTTTCTGATATTATTTTACCTCAGGAAAAAGAACACAGTAAGAAACATAAATTGTTTCTCAAGGAAAAAAAAAAGTTTCCATCTGAGCTTCTCGCTGTTTGTGGAGAGCTTATGTTCTTGGTATTCCTAGCAGGTGCTGGGATCCTTCACCCATCATTGATTTCATCAACTTACTTTCTGTTGTTCCTATCAATTGCTACCTGGTTGGCATGTAGCCAGAAGCTAGGCCAAACTTTCATTTTAGTTAGAACAGTTTTGGCTGTCTACTGTGCCAGTAATATTATTGTTTTGTACCTGTATCAACTGACTATGCTCAGAAGCTCATTCATCCCAAAAACCAGGGAGCAAGGTTTGTTAAAAAAAAATAAAACAGTGAGTATTTAGCTAAAGTTGAGGTTTTAAAGTAGAGGTTATTTAGAGTAAAATAGCTCATGAATGTGTGTATGTGTGTATGTATGTATATATGAAAAAATATATGTGAAATGCTTATGAAACAAATGTGTAAAATGTGTACTGATTTATAGATTAACATAGCTCAGAGTCGCTTGATTCTTGTAAAAACGAGATTTGTTGTGAATCTCATATGTAGAAGAAATGGTGTAGTAATTCATTGCAAGTGAACTCAAAACAAAAATAAATTTTTATTTCAGCAAAGTCTTCGATTACTGAGTTCTGGATAGTGGCAGGACTAGTGAAAAAATGTTATGTATAAAGAAATGAAGAGAATTAAACTTTGTTTAAATGAAGTGAATATGATGAATTTCACATGATCATCAGGCAAAACACATGACACAAAGACAGGACATGTTGAGAGGCCAAGCCTTGCTGTGAAAGTTCTGTCTTTGTGTCACTGTGTTTATCCATGTTAGAGTGCCAAGGCTTGCTGTGAAAGTTCTGTCTTTGTGTCACTGTGTTTATCCATGTTAAGAGTGCCAAGGCTTGCTGTGAAAGTTCTGTCTTTGTGTCACTGTGTTTATCCATGTTAAGAGTGCCAAGGCTTACTGTGAAAGTTCTGTCTTTGTTTCACGGATAAACACAGTGACACAAAGACAGAACTTTCACAGCAAGCCTTGGCACTCTCAACATGGATAAACACAGTGACACAAAGACAGAACTTTCACAGCAAGCCTTGGCACTCTTAACATGGATAAACACAGTGACACAAAGACAGAACTTTCACAGCAAGCCTTGGCACTCTCAACATGGATTAACACAGTGACACAAAGACAGAACTTTCACAGCAAGGCTTGGCACTCTCAACATGGATAAACACAGTGACACAATAACAGAACTTTCACAGCAATGCTTGGTCCTCTCAACATGGATAAACACAGTGACACAAAGACAGAACTTTCACAGCAAGGCTTGGCACTCTCAACATGGATAAACACAGTGACACAAAGACAGAACTTTCACAGCAAGCCTTGGCACTCTCAACACAGATAAACACACTGACACAAAGACAGAACTTTCACAGCAAGCCTTGGCACTCTCAACATGGATAAACACACTGACACAAAGACAGAACTTTCACAGCAAGGCTTGAGCTTTTCAGAGAAACCAGCTGCTTTCTTAAGAAGTTAGAGTGAATCTCATCTGAAAACTACATTCAGAATACATAATCTCTCTGTAGCTGATCTATCAGAAAAGTTTCACTGAAATATCTCTGTTACATATAACATTTGTCCTTGATAAACTAGGTTAGGTAGTACATGCAGTGTAACTATCCATAAAATAAGTTCCTTTACTGGTGGAAATAAAGAAAGTAATACCTGAGGTTGGATGACTTCAACCAGATTTAACAAGTCTAGAAAAATACAAAAGATTTTGTAAGTAGAACATATGTGTTGTAGGACAGTAAGGTATGTATTATTTGCATCCTACTTATTTGTTGTTGAATTTTGCACAAAGCTACTTGATGGTTATATGTGATAGTTATCCTTAATGTTTATCCCCAGGTGGCTTGATAAGTTTCGACACCTATGGTGAGCAGATCACAGATAGCCCATTGTGTACTTTGTACTCAACAACAAACAAACTATCCTTAATTTTTAAGTGAAAAACTAGAAAGAATGAAGTTAGTCAGCACCACCTATCGCCAACTCTTGGGCTGTTTTTGTCAGGCCTAATAGTAAGTTCGTGTTGAACCTCATATCCATAGTCGAGCATGCTAACCACTGGGCTGTATTCAGTTCTTGCATACTACAGGCCCTTGTGTTGTAAACACATACTTATGTGTATGAAACAAAAGAGATAGAAAGTTATTTACATAAGATAAAGAGAAATTTAGTTGTAATTGAAAGACAGGCATTGATGTGGAAAACAAACTTTTCAGCATTAATTCAAGTTTTACACTTTCTCATATAAAAAATAGAAAATTTCTATTGATATTTCTACAAGTAAAGTTGAATATTATTTATAATAATATATGATAACATTTATCCAAACACTTGCTTGGAGGAGAGAATTTTTTGAAAGCCTTTGTATAAAACCTGAAATATCATCTATCCTTGAATTCCATGTAGATGAAGCATATACAGAATACAAGGGAATTCAGTACAGAGTGTTTAAAACCTTTTAAACTCCAGCAGATGGTACTGATACAGGTATTAAAGTTCTGGCTGGTGTAGTATCAGGTCATATTCCAAACACTGTTTTGAAATGAGTAGCAAAGGAAGTTGGTTAAAGAGAGACGCCTGCTGAATATGTTTTGTACTAATTAAAGCCCGACATGGTCAGGTGATTAAAGTGGATCATGAGTTCAAATCTTTTCACCCAAAATACTTGCTCTTTCAGCCATTATAATGTTACAGACAACCCCACTATTCGTTGGTAAAGAAGTTGATAGTGGGTTGTGATGGCTAGCTACCTTCATATTAGTCTTATCTCTTCAAAATTAGAGATGGCTGGCACAGATATCTCTTGATTAGCTTTGTGCAAATTCAATAAACAAGCAAACTATAAACTTATATAAGTTGCTTATTATTGATATTAAAAATAAAATCATTTTATAACAATTCTTTTTAATTAGGTAGGACTTGTACAGTGCAAGTTATACAGTTTGTGGCTTATTCAAATTTAAGCTTGATAATTTACAGATTATGATGTTTTGTATTTCGTAGATTGCTGGGCTTGGTGGGACTTGTGGATTCCACTTGTGGTAGCACTGAAGACAGTCGAACCATAATCTTCCGACCAGAGCACTGGACTGTATACATACAGCCACTTGTATTGCTTGGCCTGTATTGGCTGCTCTGTTTCTTGATTCGCTATAAACTCTATGCAGATGTGGGTATATTTTCTGTTTATGTACATGTATTACTGGTTTAAACGTGATTAATGCTTTGATAGGTAGATAGTGATTTATATATATAAACCACAGAGTTACTTAGGAATTCCATAGTGGTTATTAACACTGGTAGTTACTTGGTCCATATAACACATAAGGTAAAAAAAAAACCTAAAGAAAAATGCCATCAACATGTATGGTAATTCCACTAATTACAACTAGAGTATTTTATTTAGAAAATGAGTGATTTCACCTAATCATTTGGACCCTGTTCCTTACACTGAGTGTTGTAACAGGTGTAAATATGAAATTACTAAGTTTAATGTAATATATGGAACCCACAATAACATAAAAACAAGTCGGTAATCTGAGGGGAAGATTTGAAAAATATTTTTGGATATCACACTTATGTAATATCACTTATGTAATTTTGTCTTTGAATAATTGATTTGTTGCATAGTTTTGTCAGTTTGGTTTGCTTGCATTTTCTCTTTGAGTGTAATGTTTGAATCATTTGTGTATTATTTTATAGGCTGCTTCTTGCTGGAAAAAAGGTTTTGTTAAAATTCTTTCTTTAGTTTGTTTTCCAGACTAAAATATTCTTATATACACACATGTGTAAAGATAAAAAGTGTTTTCACATTGGTGATTATTTCTACTTAATTATATACCATAAGAATGAAGTGATTGTTGCTCATTTACATTCTATAAAAGAAAATCAAATTCATCTCAGTCATGCATTTTGAAAAAGATATTTGATAAAATTTTGATTTAAATATACCCCAACATTCAGTTTTCCATTACTAATCTTGTGTGGTAGTTTGAGTTGTTCTGAGAGTTCTCGGGTTTGAATCTGAGCTGGGGAAATAATAAAAGAAAAAATTAAGTCACTGCAGTAAAAACTGGCACTCAAATAGTGATTATCTTGTGACCCTGAGATAAGGGCTAGGGATGGACTGCTGCCTTATTAGTAGTTGCTAACGGTTATTTGTTTAGTTAAGTTGATAGAGCACTTGCCTATTGATCTCAGTTGATAGAATTATTGTTTGACATCCAAGAGTTCTCAGGTTCAAATCCCAGCCAAAAAAATTAATAAAAGAAAAACTTTAATTAGCTTCACAGATAAATTCGTATGGTCATTCATGTGTTATTTATTAAAATTAAACACTATATGTTGTTTAATCAACTCTCGTCACAGGCTCATGTGTATCTTATAAAAAAGCATGAGTCATAAATTAAGAAATTTTAAGCAGAGCAATTTTATTAATTAATGTACTGTAAATATATTACTGGTAAACTCTGTGTCTGATGGAGAATGTGAAGTTTTAATTCTCAGAATCAGCTTAGCGTTTAATACTAGTGCAGTACTTACTCTCCTTATCCACTAAAAAGTGAATGGCTAAATCTTAGTGTAAATTTCTAAAATCTGCAAGAACTTTGTTTGGATTATGTTGTTTTATATGAATTATTTATAAAAGTATTTTACTAGATGTAGATCAAAGGTTATGACAAGCAAAATATCATAAGCCTGTTATTAGTTTTCATAAATGATTTTTAGTGCTCAGAGTGGCAGGTTAAAGCATTATATATGGAAATACTTCAGCTTGTTGGCCTCTTTAGGTAACAGAAGAGCTCCAAAGCAATGCTGAGCATGCTGTAGCCAGAGATGACTCAAAAAGAAGCTCTCCGCGCTCTTCTGCTGTCTTGTTAAGATGTAGACATCGCAACGTGCAAGAAGGCAGTCAAGTCGTATGTACTGCACAACCCTAACTATAGCTCTCCCTAGCTGCAGCTTTGCCTGAGCTTTTTTCATGTTGATTAGAAAAATATAATATTTTTTATTATTATTATGAATGTCTGTCTTAAAGATGTTTGTTATTATCAAGTTTTGAATGTTTTATTTTATTTTGGGTCTGTGTTAAGTACTACTATACATGATAAAGTTTTTGTTATTGTTGCTTTTATGAGAAACTTATTGTTTGTTATTATTATTTGAACTTTTGAAATACAACTATACTTTTTAACACATATTAGATGTAATCCAACTTTTGAAACACAACTTTTTTAACACCCATAAGGTATAATCAAACTTTTGAAACCCAACTTTTTAAACACCCATAAGGTTTAATCAAACTTTTGAAACACAACTTTACTTTTTTAACACCCATAAAATGTAATCGAACTTTTGAAACACAGTATTACTTTTTAACACCTGTAAGGTGTTATCTTTTGATCTAATAAATTGGGGAAACCCTTCAAAACAACCTTGGTTTTTGTAAGTAAATTGAGAGCACTTACAACTTGAAAGGTTTTAAAACACTTGGAAAATATTTTTTTTATACATATTGAAAATAGTTGAGCATTACATTATTAGCATCATTAATACCTTATTTCTATGGTTAAAACTAACAATATTGTTCCAGTCATTATAGCTAAAATAATTTGTCTATATAACATAACACAGTCCTGTTATTATAACTGAAATGATAACTTTTCTGTTCATTGTAACACTAGTCTTGTCATTGTACTTGAAATTACTAATCTTGTCTGTTTATCATTACAATAGTCTTATCACAATGTAAAAAACAATACTTTAATAAACACGGGAATAGTTTGTTTTACTTGTAACAATATTACTTTTAACATAAACAGACAGGATTGTTAAACTTAATTCTAACAAATAGACTAGTTTCATAATACAGAAATTTTTATTTTCAAGTACAATGATAAGACTATTGTAATGATAAACAGACAAGATTAGTAATTTCAAGTACAATGATAAGACTAGTGTCATAACAGACAGACAAGATTAGTAATTTCAAGTACAATGATAAGACTAGTGTCATGACTGACAGACAAGATTAGTAATTTCAAGTACACCATCTAAAACTGTCAATCTTGTTTATCTGGTATAATACTAGTCTCAACTTACAGATAAAGTTATCAATCCTGTTTGTGTAAGATAATACTAGTCTCATCATTACAGATAACGTTATCAATCCTGTTTGTGCAGTATAATACTTGTTTCATTGCTAAAGATAAAACCATCAGTCCTGTTTGTTTGTGTAATATAATAATAGTCTCATCATTACAAATAAAGTTATCAATCCTGTTTGTGTAATATAATACTAGTCTCATCATTACAGATAACGTTATCAATCCTGTTTGTGCAGTATAACACTAGTTTCATTGCTACAGATATTATATTATAACTGTATTGTTTGTCCATGTTATGTATAGTATTGCTATTATAGCTATGTTTATATTGTTTGTCCATGTTAAGTATAGTATTGTCATTATAGCTATGTTCGTTCATGTTATAAGTAGTATTGTCTACATTGTGTACATAACTTGTTTTCCACATTTTTTTTATTCCTATGGTAACAGTTAGAACTATGCTTGTCCATTTTATTTGTTGTTATTGACAAAACTTTAAAGAAAAATGTATTATATTTTATCTTGTTGATAAATAAGTGTAGGTGTTTTGTACTTACCAGGTTACTAAAGGACTAGTCCTGTCTCTAACCTGATTTGTTGACAAAGTGTTTTATACTTCCCATGTTACTAAAGGACTAGTCCTATCTCTAACCTGACTTGTTTATAGGTATTTTATGCTTCCTATGTTACTGAGGGCTAGGTCAATCTCTAAGCTAGTTTATTGACATGTGTTTTATACTTCCCAGGTTACTAAAGGACTAGTTCAATCTCTAAGGTAGTTTGTTGATAGGTGTTTTATATTTTCCAGGTTACTAAAGGACTAGTCCTATCTCTAACCTGACTTGTTGATAGGTATTTTATACTTATCAGGTTACTAAAGGACTAGTCCTATCTCTAACCTGACATAGGTATTTTATACTTATCAGGTTATTAAAATACTAGTCCTATCTCTAACCTGACTTGTTGATAGGTATTTTATACTTATTAGGTTACTAAAAGACTAGTCCTATCTCTAACCTGACTTGTTGATAGGTGTTTTATACTTCCTAGGTTACTGAGGGCTAGGTCAATCTCTAGGCTGGTTTACTGACATGTGTTTTATACTTATCAGGTTACTAAAGGACTAGTCCTGTCTCTAAGGTAGTTTGTTGATAGCTGTTTTATACTTATCAGGTTACTAAAGGACTAGTCCTAATCTCTAGGCTGGTTTGTTGACAGGTATTTTATAGTTCCCAGGATACTTAGAGCTAGTCCAATCTCTAGACTGACTTGTTGACATGTGTTTTATACCTATCAGGTTACTAAAGGACTAGTCTAATCTCTAGGCTGGTTTGTTGACAGGTATTTTATAGTTCCCAGGATACTTAGAGCTAGTCCAATCTCTAGGCTGACTTGTTGACAGATGTCTTGTACCTGTCAGGTTACTAAATGACTAGTCCAATCTCTAAGCTGACTTGTTGACAGGTGTCTTGTACTTGCCAGGTTGTGATAAATTTCACCTTTTTTTTGGTAGCTTCTAGAAGACGATAATGGAATAGATCCTGAAGATCCATCACAGCCAAAAGACAGCCTGGCCATGGACCTAAATGGAAGTATTATTCTTTCCACTGATGGAGATTTTTTTGATGGTGACTCAGATGATGAAGTGGTGTCAATTGATATTAGAAAATCCTTGTATTTTTCATTGTTCACCTGTCTGTTTACACTAATGAAACAAGGAAGCTATATTGCTACCCTTATTATAATGATGGTAAATACCTTAATTATATTACCTTTATTATAATAATGGTAAATATGTTAATTACATTACCCTTATTATAATGATGGTAAATACCTTAGTTACGTTACCCTTATGATAATAATGGTAAATACGTTAATTACACTACCCTTATTATAATGATGGTAAATACCTTAATTATATTACCTTTATTATAATAATGGTAAATACGTTAATTACATTACCCTTATTATAATAACGGTAAATACCTTAATTATATTACCTTTATTATAATAATGGTAAATACGTTAATTACATTGCCCTAATTATAATGATGGTAAATACCTTAATTACGTTATATTGTTATATCTGAGAATATCACAAACAGAACTGCTCAGCAGCTGCTCTCTGACTTTTATACCTGAGGATACTATAAACAGAACTGCTCAGCAGCTGCTCTTTGACTTTTATACCTGAGGATACTATAAACAGAACTGCTCAGCAGCTGCTCTCTGACTGTTATACCTGAGGATATTATAAACAGAACTGCTCAGCAGCTGCTCTCTGACTGTTATACCTGAGGATACTATAAACAGAACTGTTTAGCAGCTGCTCTCTGACTGTTATATCTGAAGATACAATAAACAGAACTGTTCAGCAGCTGCTCTCTGACTGTTATACCTGAGGATATTATAAACAGAACTGTTCAGCAGCTGCTCTCTGACTGTTATACCTGAGGATACTATAAACAGAACTGTTCAGCAGTTGCTAAAATAAGCTTAAAGACTGTGGTGTTGTATTTAAAGGATGCAACACATTGTCCTTCAGACTGATATCACATACAGCACAACACTTTTTAAGCTGACATAACATACAAAACAATGTCCTTTAGACTAGCTTCACATACAACAGAGAACTCTTTAAGCTGACTTTAAATACAACACTACACTCTTTTAAGCTAACTTTAAATACAACATGACACCTTTTTAACCTGCCTTTAAATACAACACGACAGTCTTTAAGCTGACTTTAAATACAACACTACACTCTTTTAACCTGACTTTAAATACAACATGACACTCTTTTAACCTGACTTTAAATACAACATGACACTCTTTTAACCTGACTTAAAATTCATGACACTCTTTTAACCTGACTTTAAATACAACACGACAGTCTTTAAGCTGATTTTAAATACAACATGACACTCTTTTAAGCTAACTTTAAATACAACATGACACTCTTTTAACCTGACTTTAAATACAACACGACATTCTTTAAGCTGACTTTAAATACAACACGACAGTCTTTTAACCGGCCTTTAAATACAACACGACACTCTATTAACCTGCCTTTAAATACAACACGACAGTCTTTAAGCTGACTTTAAATACAACACCACAGTCTTTAAGCTGATAAAGCTAGTCTGGAGGGCTGTATTTTGTATATAAAGTCAGTTTGAAGAATACTGTGCTGTATGTAATGTTAGTCTGAAGAGAATTATGTGGCATGTTAAGTCAGCCTAAAGAGTGTTATGTTGTATGTAAAGTCAGTCTAAAGGGCACTGTGTTGTACATAAAGTTAGTCTGAAGAGTGTTATATTGTATGTAAAGTTAGGCTAAAGAGCATTTTGTTGTATTTTAAGTCAGTCTAAAGAGAGTTGTGTGTATGTAAAGTCAGTGTAGAGAGTGTAGTGTTGCACATAAAGTCAATTTGGACACCACTGTGTTTTGTTAAAAGCCAGATTGGAGGGTACTGTGTTATATATATAGAGAGAGAGTGGTTTTGCTTGTAAATTCATTTGTATGTATGATAATTCTGGAAGATAATTTGAGTATTTAAATATTGTATGGTGCATACGTAGTTATTAGTAAGCACAATTTTCACAAAGTTAATGTTTTTAAGACAGCTCCCAGTTATATACAACTCTTAACCATCCTTTTGCAGGTGTAACTAACTAAACAGATTTTTTTATGGAGCAATGTGTAAATTAATGTTTATTTTCATGACTTTCAGTGCATTATCTGAGCTATTTAGTTTATTAAAAAACATGATAAGTAAAATAACAATATAGAGTAATTAGGCTAATAATTTGGTGCATATAGGAAGTAGTGAGCTGGTGTTCTTCTCTTCTAGACTTGGAGTATCACCTACCACAGCTGGCTAACATTTATTCTCCTCTTGTGGTCCTGTGTCGTGTGGATGTTGCCAAACTCTCGACAAGCATGTCTACGTTCTTCACCATTCTTTGTGGCTTATGCTGAAGCATTGTTGGTCCTACAATACATTTATGGACTCAATCTAAGGGACTCCGAGTTGCCTGACAAGATTGAATCAGTTAATCTAGAACAAATTGGACTAGTGAAATATTATGATCTCTCCTATCAACCTTTGGCTGTGAAGGTGAGAGAACAGAGAAGATGAAAGTAGAATTTATTATTAAAGTACTTTGTATTTTTTTTAGCAACTCTGTTCATTACTAGCTGAGATGAAGACAGTTAATGTAGGACAGATTGATGTATTGTACTGTCATCTTTTCTACCAATCTTTGTTAGCTAAGTACATTCGTTACTAGATGAGATGAAGACAGTTAATGTGGAATATATTGATGTACTGTACTGTCATCTTTTTGACCAATCTTTGTTGGCAGGGTATGTTCATTACTAGATGAGATGAAGACAGTTAATGTAGGACAGTATTGATGTACTGTACTGTCACTTTTTGACCAATCTTTGTTGGCAATGTATGTTCATTACTAGATGAGATGAAGACAGTTAATGTGGAATATATTGATGTACTGTACTGTCATCTTTTTGACCAATCTTTGTTGGCAATGTATGTTCATTACTAGATGAGATGAAGACAGTTAATGTAGAATATATTGATGTACTATACTGTCACCTTTTTGACCAATCTTTGTTGGCAGGGTATGTTCATTACTAGATGAGATGAAGACAGTTAATGTAGAATATATTGATGTACTATACTGTCACCTTTTTGACCAATCTTTGTTGGCAGGGTATGTTCATTACTAGATGAGATGAAGACAGCTAATGTAGAACAGATTGATGTATTGTACTGTCACCTTTTCTACCAATCTTTGTTGGCAGGGTATGTTCATTACTAGATGAGATGAAGACAGCTAATGTAGAACAGATTGATGTATTGTACTGTCACCTTTTTGACCAATCTTTGTTGGCTAGGTATGTTCATTACTAGATGAGATGAAGACAGTTAATGTAGGACAGATTGATGTATTGTACTGTCACCTTTTTGACCAATCTTTGTTGGCAAGGTATGTTCATTACTAGATGAGATGAAGACAGTTAATGTAGGACAGACTAGATGTATTGTACTGTCACCTTTTCTACCAATCTTTGTTGGCAATGTATGTTTATTACTAGATGAGATGAAGACAGTTAATGTAAGACAGATTGGTGGTCTGAATTACTATCATTTGTTCTACCAGTGTTTATTACAAAGAAAGTGTAACAGATATGGTTCCAACTTCTGCTGTTGAATGTTGTGCTTTCAAACCTTCTTCAGTTTTAACACTTTCTTGTTTTTTTTATTCTTGCTTTTAAATGATCTTGCACAATAAGTCGTTGCAACAATTTGCATCTTTTTCAAGACTGTGGTTAATTATTTTTGGTATTAACCAGACAGTGTTTCCATTGTCCCAGAATCAGTTTTATTTAGTATTAAAGTAACATATAATGTACAGTCGAAAATAGTAAATTCAACAAATTAGTAATCCAAAACAAGACTATCATTTGCTGAACCACACTTTGTGGAAGATAACAGCAAAACGAAACTTAGTTACATAGGTATATAACATTAAGTACATTTTAAAGTATAACGTTTTTCATGGTTAAGCTACATAGATCATTAGTCATGATCCACAACTGTTCACAAATATTAGAATGTCTTGGATCATTAGTCATGATCCACAACTGTTCACAAATATTAGAATGTCTTAGATCATTAGTCATGATCCACTACTGTTGATAAATAATAAAATGTCTTAGATCATTAGTCATGATCCACAACTGTTCACAAATATTAGAATGTCTTGGATCATTAGTCATGATCCACAACTGTTCACAAATATTAGAATGTCTTGTCAGCACGCAATGTTCCATTCATTTAATAGCTTATACAGGATTTAATTCTAATGTATTTGATCACGTTTTATAGTTTTACAGGTTTTATTTGTAGGCTGAAAGAACTAAAAGTACAAAGATATTGATTGCTTCTGATAATGTGTTTATATTTTAATGTCAAATTTTAATCACTTCAGTTTAGGTTTAATGTAACCCTATTTCCAAAAGCTGGAACACATTTACTTGATTAGATGCCTAGAACTCTAGAAAATGTTGTATTTTAATTGTTTTTAAGTAACCACTAAAGCAAAGAATTAGTCCTGTGTATGTAAAGCTAACATTATTTTCTCCCATGCAGATTCTGTACACCATTGTGTTCTGGGTGACTCTTCGTCAGTTCATAGAGGAGAAACGACTGGAAGCGAACAGGGACATTTCAGAGAGAGTGGAAACATATAATGTATCTTATCAGCCAAATTGTCAACACCCTGGTGAGACTAATTATTGTGTTTAAGAAGAGTACAGTAAGGTCATTATGAAAAATAATGTGAGTTTATAAATAAACTTAATGTAGTAGAAAAACTTAATGTTTTAACCACATTAAACCCCTTGCATTTTAACAAAATCACGGGTTTACTCTGTTTCTCCATTTTTAAATAAACAAAAAATTTTTAGCACAATATATTTATTATAGAGTCAGTAAACTCTATATGTAGGGATGGCTAAGGTACTCAATAAGTACAATACAAATACACACTTTAAAAAATTAACAGTAACAGAGAGTTTTACTTTAAAGTATGATTGTCACTCACTTTAATTTGTTTCTCTACCCAACAAGCACCAAAAACAAGGCAAGAAACCATCGCTAAAATACCAAACCAGAAAGTGACCAACCCACCAAATTGTTCATCTTTCTTCTTCTTGTTTCAATTGATATAAATCTACAACTAATTTATCATTAATGTCAGTTAAAACATAAATACACTCTGTGTATTTCTTAGCACTGCGTGATGTCATCATTTAGTCGTAATAACTAGTAGTAATTGAAAAAAAATCATAATTATAGTGTAAACGAGGTTATCAGTACCCCTTGAAGTTAGTTTTAAAAAGCTTAAGTTCAGCGTGAAACAGGAAATACCAGCCAATACTAGATGAACATTAGATGACTATAACATGTAGAATACTCAATGATTTGTATACTATACAGTTGGTGTCTTTAGGGAATAAAAAATAAATCCTATATAATATTAAATTTTATGACACACATTCATAGAATATACTATATTTCACTCAGTGGAAAAAACATCATAAAACAAGTATTAATAAACATTTTGTATATGTAAAATGATGTAGGGATGGCAGCATCTAAAAGAATATAGGGATGATACAGCTGTACATAGATCGTTCTGGAAGCTTTGATTCAAGCTGCATAGAATTATCCAAGTATTCAACTTCAAATTGTAATATTAACATGAAAACTATGAACTTCAGTTGATATTAGAAAGAAGACAATGGGTCAGAAATCTGACTGAAAAGTCCAAGGTCACTAATCTGAGTCACATTTCTACAAGGTAATTACTTTAAATTTTGGACACATTTTAGTCTGAAACACATGTTACAGCTCAGTCCTGTTGTAGCATTCTTAATCATCTTTTACAACTCAATTGTACATTAGTAGTCAATCAGCTGTTACAGTGCATTTGCACTTTAGCATTTTAAACAAGCTGTTACACTTCAGTTGTACTTTAGCAGTTTAAACCATCTTTTACACTGGAGTTGTACTTTAGTAGTGTAAACAAGCTGTTACATTTCAGTTGTACTTTAGCAGTTTAAACAAGCTGTTACACTTCAGTTGTTCTTTAGCAGTTTAAACAAGCTGTTATAGTTCAGTTGTACTTTAGCAGTTTAAACCGACTATTACAGTTGAGTTGTACTTTAGCAGTTTAAACCAGCTGTTATAGTTCAGTTGTACTTTAACAGTTTAAACAAGCTGTTACAGATGAGTTATACTTTAGCAGTTTAAATCAGCTGTAGCTTTGTGCTTAACAAATAAAGTGTGACTAGTTTTAAGGAACTGGGTAGAAACAACACAGGTAGTCCATTGTGTAGCTTAACAAATAAAGTGTGACTAGTTTTAAGGAACTGGGTGGACACAACACAGGTAGTCCATTGTGTAGCTTTGTGCTTAACAAATAAAGTGTGACTAGTTTTAAGGAACTGGGTGGACACAACACAGGTAGTCCATTGTATAGCTTTGTGCTTAACAAATAAAGTGTGACTAGTGGAAAGTGACTTGTAATAAAATCAGTGATGTAGAAACTCAAAAGAGTAACCATTGGTAACAGGAAGTTAAGTTTCAAGTAAATAACACAAGTTTTGCTTTCCACCTGTCAACTAAAGTATAATTTTTATTGCTCAAAGTATTAATGATAATGTACAGCATTTTCAGACTTATCCTTTATTTTGACCTAAAATTCCTTTATATTTCCTTATTTATTGTGAAAAATGTTCCTGTGTTTGTCCTCTATATTTTGGGGATCCTGCTGAGAGTCCTATAAAAGTCAAACTTTTCTTTTGGTTGCTTGCTTGTAATATAAAATTTCATCACGATTTTAAGTAGTTGTTTTCATTTAACACAAACTTCTAAATGACATAAAACAGAAGAGATATTAACAAAACGTTTTGTTTCAAGCAGCCTTACATCATCGTTTAAGCGTGGCTACTTCAAAGGGAGGTCTGTATGTACGTCGTCTAGGAGTTATCGTGAAGAACCTCCTAGTAAAGTACTGGATTTGTATTGTAACCTGCATGTTAATGGTGATATCACTTGGAGGAGAAAAGGTTGTCCTGTACAGGATTGCTTACATGTTTTTGTGTCTTTTCTTCATACTTGTCTTTCAGGTAAGGTCTTAAACTTAAATTCACTCTTCCAGTTCTTGGTTATTCAATGATATTTCTCAGTTCTTGAAATTAGGTATTTATGAATTACATATTAAATGTATATTTTTTCACATGTTAATCCTTTTATTTCTACAGCTAAGTTACAGCATGGCTAACACTTAGGAATTTCATATTAAACAAACTGCACTGCATTAAGTCTATTAACCAATAGGATTTCCTTTATATATTATATTAATCAATAGTTCCCTGTTTGTCTTAACAATGATTTTAAACTGTCTTTTTTTTATAGACTAATTACACTTGTTCTTTCTGATTAGTCCCCTTATTATAGATTAATTACACTCATTCCTTCTCACTAGACTTCTTCTTATAGATTAATTACTGTCATTCCTTCTCACTAGTCTCCTTCTTATAGATTCATTCCACTTGTTTCTTCTGACTAGACCCCATCTTATAGATTCATTACACTCATTCCTTCTGACTAGACCCCATCTTATAGATTCATTACACAATGAATCTATAAGATGGGGTCTAGTCAGAAGGAATGAGTATAATTAATCTATAAGAAGGGGACTAGTCACAAGGAACAAACACTCATTCCTTGTGACTAGTCCCCTTTCTATAGATTCATTATACTCATTTCTTCTGACTAGTCCCCTTCTTATAGATTAATTACACTAATTCATTCTGACTAGTTCCCTTCTTATAGATTAATTACAACTGTTCCTACTGACTAGTTCCCTTCTTATAGATTCATTCCAATTGTTTCTTCTGACTAGTCTCCTTCTTATAGATTCATTACACTCATTCCTTCTCACTAATCTCCTTCTTATACATTAATTAAACTCATTCATTCTGACTAGTCCCCTTCTTTTGATTAATTACAACTGTTCCTACTGACTAGTCTCCTTCTTATAGATTCATCACACTCATTCCTTGTGACTAGTCCCCTTCCTATAGATTAATTATACTCATTCCTTCTGACTAGTCCCCTTCTTATACATTAATTAAACTCATTCATTCTGACTAGTCTCCTTCTTATAGATTAATTACAACTGTTCCTACTGACCAGTCCCTTTCTTATAAATTAATTATACTCATTCCTTCTCACTACTCCCCTTCTTATAGATTAATTACATGTTTTTCCTTCTGACTAGTTCCCTTCTTATAGATTAATTACACTTGTTCGTTCTGACTAACTTTTATGTTCATAAGTATACCGTAAATATTTATTTTCCAGTAATGACCTAATTCATATTAACAGTGTTGAATGTATGGATTTATAGGAAAACTGAGAAAGTCGTTTAGCAACTAAACAACTTAACTGATTTATGGGGAGTAATACAGGACACTTGGAACCATATTTCACAACCATACATTGAAAAACTTATAGATGAATAAACCAGAGTGTACTGTTATGCTTTAAGCAAGTACAAAATACTATTGCAATGTACAACTCTTTATTTTATGTAATAATATATTGTGTCAATCATAAATTCTCCGATTAGCTGCAATTATTCATTAGTTGAGATATGATTCACCAGTGTATTTTTATAATTATTTAGCATGGTCAGGTGGTTAGGGCACTCGACTCGCAATCTGAGGGTTGCGGGTTCGAATCTCCGTCCCACCAAACATGCTCGCCTTTTCAGCCGTGGGGGCGTTATAATGTGACGGTCAATCCCACTATTCGTTGGTAAAAGAGTAGCCCAAGAGTTGACGGTGGGTGGTGATGAATAGCTGCCTTCCCTCTAGTCTTACACTGCTAAATTATGGACGGCTAGTGCAGATAGCCCTCGTGTAGCTTTGCGCAAAATTCAAAAAACAAGCAAACAAACAATCATAATTATTTTCAAATGGTACAAGAGAAGTATTTAATTTTATATTTTATGATAATCTTATGGAGTTAAACTTCCTTTAAAATTTTACTGAGGTGTTGTCCCCATTTATTTACCTTTTATTTATTATCATTATAAGTCTTTAGTGTATATATTTTTAGGTATTAAAAATATTTTAATAAAGAAGTTGATGGGTTAAATGATGGATGATAAAACATTTGTCTTTGTGATAATACCACTTGTTTTGTGAATCAGGGAATGTTTGTGTTTTCTCCAGTTCTCCTACAATCTCTGGAGAAGGATGATGTATTGTTTCTGGCTAACTGTCATTGTCTACTCCATGCTAGTCCTCATCTTCATCTACACGTATCAGTTTGAAAACTTTGAAAACTACTGGACGAACTATCTAGGAATTCCCCTGCAGTAGTGAGTGAAATGAGGGCTTAGTTTCTCAGACCTATAAAGTAAAAAGTGAAAACTTTAAAAGTGGGAGGGAGAAGGATTAGAAAACAAAAAAAAGAGGATATTTTTTTGTTCCCTTCACTTTTCTGAGGCCATACACTATAGTGCATAAGTATTATTAGTTGTAAAATGTGTAAGGGAGAGGAACTGATTGATTGACATGTAAATAAATTATGAGTTACTTCTACACTGTTGGAGAGGAACTGATTGAATGACATGTAAATAAATTATTAATTACTTCTACACTGTTGGAGAGGAACTGATTGATTGACATGTAAATAAATTATGATTTACTTCTTCACTGTTGAAGAGGATCTGGTTGGTTAACATGTAAATTATGAGTTACTTCTTCACTGTTGGAGAGGAACTGGTTGATTGATTAACATATAAATTATGAGTTACTTCTTCACTGTTAGAGAGGAACTGGTTGATTGAAATGTAAGTTATGAGTTATTTCTTCACTGTTAGAGAGGAACTGGTTGATTAACATATAAATTATGAGTTACTTTTTCACTGTTTGAGAGGAACTGGTTGATTGAAATGTAAGTTATGAGTTATTTCTTCACTGTTGAAAAGGATCTGTTTGGTTAACATGTAAATTATGAGTTATTTCTTCACTGTTAGAGAGGAACTGGTTAGTTAACATGTAAATTATGAGTTACTTCTTCACTGTTACAGAGGAACTGGTTGATTGAAATGTAAGTTATGAGTTATTTCTTCACTGTTGAAAAGGATCTGTTTGGTTAACATGTAAATTATGAGTTATTTCTTCACTGTTACAGAGGAACTGGTTGATTAACATATAAATTATGAGTTATTTCTTCACTGTTAGAGAGGAACTGGTTGATTAACATATAAGTTATGAGTTATTTCTTCACTGTTATAGAGGAACTGGTTGATTGGTTAACATGTAAGTTATGAGTTATTTCTTCACTGTTATAGAGGATCTGTTTGGTTAACATGTAAGTTATGAGTTATTTCTTCACTGTTAGAGAGGAACTGGTTGATTGAAATGTAAGTTATGAGTTATTTCTTCACTGTTATAGAGGAACTGGTTGATTGGTTAACATGTAAATTATGAGTTACTTCTTCACTGTTAGAGAGGAACTGGTTGATTGAAATGTAAGTTATGAGTTATTTCTTCACTGTTACAGAGGAACTGGTTGGTTAACATGTGAGTCATGAGTTACTTCTTCACTGTTTGAGAGGAACTGGTTGATTGATTAACATACTTATGTAAATAGTTAGTCACTTCTTCAAAGTGGAAGATGGAGAGATTTAACATATGTTGGTAAACTTTCATTTCTGTAAATGAACTTATATTTTCTTAGTAATTTGAATTTAGTACAGAACATTTCTAATCAACATGAGCTGGAGAAGGTGAATAAACTAAGATCCTTTAGGAGAGTGTTATTAAATTATGTATCATTAGTATATTCTGTATCGTGTCAGAGTAGTGTGTGTATCATCAGAGCACTGTGTGTATCATCAGAGCAGTGTGTGTGTATCATCTGATTAGTGGGTGTGTCATCAGAGTAGTGCGTGTATCATCAGAGTGTTGTGTGTGTTTCATCTTAGTCATATCTGTATTATCATATTAATACAGTATGTATCATCAGAGCAGTGTGTGTATCATCAGAGTGTTGTGTTTGTTTCATCTTAGTCATGTCTGTATTATCATATTAATACAGTATGTATCATCAGTATAGTCTGTATCGTGTCTGAGCACTGTGTGTATCATCAGAGCAGTGTGTGTGTATCATCAGTAAAGTGTATGTATCATCAGAGCAGCGTGTGTGTATTATCTGATTAGTGTGTGTGTGTCATCAGAGTACTGTGTGTATCATCAGAGCAGTGTGTGGGTGTATCATCAGAGCAGTGTGTGTGTGTGTATCATCAGAGTGTTGTGTGTGTTTCATCTTAGTCATGTCTGTATTATCGTATTAATACAGTATGTATCATCAAAGTATAGTGAATACCATTACAGTATTCTAAGTCTGGTCATTTCAATACAAAATGTAAGCAAGTGGTTTAAATTTGAATATAATGTTGTATAGAAATAACCTTGGATTTAATATGGTGTTTCTCAATCCATTATATTATTCACACAGTCAGAAAGATATTGGTCTGGAGAAGTACGTGGACAACCCAGCCATCTTGTTCCTGAAGCTACTCATTCCTACTTTCTTCTTGATTATCACTATCATACAGTTGCATTACTTTCACAAGGAATTCCTACTGATCAGTGGCTTCGACTGTAGGTAATTTATAGTTAAATCTGCTGTAGGGAGGAATGGGCCTTTGTAAGGGGATTAAGTAACTCATCTTTCAACTAAACTAGTTTGGTGCTGATGAAAATGATGTAGTTGTAAAGGTTAAAACACATTATACCACTTATGATAGCATCCTATACTCAAACTTCTTCTTCAGTTATGTGCACATATATTATTCTTTCAGTTTTATTAATACTTGTTAAACTGTCACTTTCCTTCATTTATACGTGTAGTTGTCCTTCTATTAAACTTGTTGTTTTATTTCATTTATACATGTAGTTGTCCTTCTGTTAAACATGTTGTTTTCCATCATTTATACGTGTAGTTGTCCTTCTGTTAAACTTGTTGTTTTCCATCATTTATACGTGTAGTTGTCCTTCTGTTAAACTTGTTGTTTTCCTTCATTTATACGTGTAGTTGTCCTTCTGTTAAACTTGTTGTTTTCCTTCATTTATATGTGTAGTTGTCCTACTGTTAAACTTGTTGCTGTCCTTCACTTATATGTGTAGTCGTCCTACTGTTAAACTTGTTGCTGTCCTTCATTTATATGTGTAGTTGTCCTTCTGTTAAACTTGTTGTTTTCCTTCACTTATACGTGTAGTTGTCCTACTGTTAAACTTGTTGTTTTCCTTTATTTATACGTGTAGTTGTCCTACTGTTAAACTTGTTGCTCTTCTTCACTTATACCTGTAGTTGTGCTACTGTTAAACTTGTTGCTGTCCTTCATTTGTAACTGTAGTTGTCTTGCTGTTAAACTTGTTGTTTTCCTTCATTTATACGTGTAGTTGTCCTAGTGTTAAACTTGTTGCTGTCCTTCACTTATACGTGTAGTTGTCCTACTGTTAAACTTGTTGTTTTCCTTTATTTATACCTGCAGTTGTTCTACTGTTAAACTTGTTGCTGTCCTTCATTTGTACCTGTAGTTGTCCTAAGAAGGACAACTACAGGTACAAATGAAGGACAGCAACAAGTTTAACAGATTAAACTTGTTGCTGTCCTTCACTTATACGTGTAGTCGTCCTACTGTTAAACTTGTTGTTTTCTTCATTTATACGTGTAGTTGTCCTACTGTTAAACTTGTTGCTGTCCTTCATTTATATGTGTAGTTGTCCTACTGTTAAACTTGTTGCTCTTCTTCACTTATACCTGTAGTTGTGCTACTGTTAAACTTGTTGCTGTCCTTCATTTGTAACTGTAGTTGTCCTGCTGTTAAACTTGTTGTTTTCCTTCATGTATACGTGTAATTGTCCTTCTGTTAAACTTGTTGTTATAACTTATACCTATAGTTTGCTACTGTAAAACTTGTTGCTGTCCTTCATTTGTAACTGTAGTTGTCCTGCTGTTAAACTTGTTGTTTTCCTTCATTTATACGTGTAATTGTCCTTCTGTTAAACTTGTTGTTTTCCTTCATTTATACGTGTAGTTGTCCTTCTGTTAAACTTGTTGTTTTCCTTCATTTATACCTGTAGTTGTCCAACTGTTAAACTTGTTGTTTTCCTTCATTTATACATGTAGTTGTCCTTCTGTTAAACTTGTTGCTGTCCTTCATTTGTAACTGTAGTTGTCCTGCTGTTAAACTTGTTGTTTTCCTTCATTTATACGTGTAATTGTCCTTCTGTTAAACTTGTTGTTTTCCTTCATTTATACCTGTAGTTGTCCTTCTGTTAAACTTGTTGCTGTCCTTCATTTATACGAGTAGTTGTCCAACTGTTAAACTTGTTGCTGTCCTTCATTTGTAACTATAGTTGTCCTGCTGTTAAACTTGTTGTTTTCCTTCATTTATACATGTAGTTGTCCTTCTGTTAAACTTGTTGTTTTCCATCATTTATGCGTGTAGTTGTCCTACTGTTAAACTTGTTGCTCTCCTTCACTTATATGTGTAGTTGTCCTTCTATTCAATTTGTTGCTGTCCTTCATTTATACGTGTAGTTGTTCTACTGTTAAACTTGTTGCTGTCCTTCATTTCAACTTGTTGTTCTCATTCCCTTAAAATGTGCACATTGTTATATTTAAAACATAATTTTAGTTTTTGTCCTATTAAACCTTTATTTGAATTTTTCTTTCAGTTAAACTTGTAATTATAGTTACCTTTGACTTAAACTTGTACTTTGAGTTTATTTTCTATTTCTTCTTCAGTTAAGTTTGAAGTTCATCTTCAGTTTCCTTTGTACTCACAGTTCTTCTGTTGAACTTGTATTTGAAGTTCTACAATGAATTTTTTCAATTTTTCTTTCTCTCAGAAACAAGATTTCTGATTCTTCCATAAAGCAGACAAAATTAGTAATGTCACCTAAAGTTGATGCTACCAAGGTTGTAATAGGAGAGACTAATGAAACAGAAACAGAAGAATATGCCACTGTTTCTGCAGCAACATCTTTGCCCGATACCTCATTTGCTTCAACAAAGAGGGGTAATGAATGGAGGGGAGGCGATGAAGGTAAATCTATGGTAGGAGACAAATAGTGGTAAATAACCTCTAGAAATGAAAAATCTGTTAATTGAGGATATTTATGGTAAAAGTATAACTAATTGTATGGGTGAATTTTCCAAACTTACAGTTACTAACTTATTTATAAATGTTGTTTTACAAACTTTATTTTGTCGACCTACCAAAGTTGATCACTTACACGATGTATGCCAATATTATAATATTTCTTATTCTGAATTTTCAGATATTAAAACCCTGAAGAGGTGGTTTCACCTGATTCTGGAGAGAGCAGTGACTATTAGTCAGGGTGTTAGTGACCTGATCTGGCAGTTTCTGGAGATCCATGTTATTAAGATTGTTCTGTTTTCAGTTCTCTGGTTGGCTCTTCATGATGTAAGTATTGTTTATTTTAAAGTTTAAAAAAAGTTAAGTTTTTTACAGCTGTTCAAACAACCTCAACTTGACTATACGTTTGATGAGGAAAGTGACCATCAGATGTAAGGTCAGTCAAACTTCCAACTTCTATTTATTTATAACTCTCAATGTTAATTGCTTTAACAACTGTTGAGAAGGACTGAGACATTAAATAAGAGAAATAAAGTTACTTAACTAAATCAGTTTTTATTTAATTAACTGACAGACAACATATCCTGTACAAACGTTTAAAGGAAGATGATTATTATAGCAATTACTCACAGTCGTGGTAACAGTGTATCTAGTACGTGTTTATTAAACCAGTACTCATGGATATGTTAACAATATATCCAGTACACATTTTGTAAAGGAAACATGTTGATTACACCAGTAACAGATATGAACTTATGGCTTTTGGTGGATAAAAGGCTTCATATATGCAATTTTCTGCAATAATCATGTAATGAGTAATCATGTGTAATGCTTGTGCTAACATCAAATATGTCATTAACAAACATCGTGACAGAGAAGGCTATATGCATCCTGTGGCTAGTGGAGTTAAAATTGCCTATTCTAGAGCAAATACAATATCGTAGAATATATGGAAAAGATCCACCAGTTAAGGATACTGTCAAGAAGTGGTGCCAAGACTCGGGGAACATGTTATGCGGGAAAGTGGCTGTGATGGGCTGATTCCCTGGCTGCTACAGTCAACAGACATAACCCTTCTAGATTTTTTGTTCTGAGGCTGTGTGAAGGATATCTTTTACAGGAGAAAGATGATTGATCTTGGAACACTACAGTGAATGGATAACCAATAAAATAGCTACTGTGATGCCCAAATCTGGGAACACTACAGTGAATGGATAACCAATAAAATAGCTACTGTGATGCCAAAATCTGGGAACACTACAGTGAATGGATTACCAATAAAATAGCTAATGTGATGCCCAAATCTGGGAACATTACAGTGAATGGATAACCAATAAAATAGCTACTGTGATGCCCAAATCTGGGAACACTACAGTGAATGGATAACCAATAAAATAGCTACTGTGATGCCAAAATCTGGGAACACTACAGTGAATGGATAACCAATAAAATAGCTACTGTGATGTTCAAATCTGGGAACACTACAGTGAATGGATACCCAATAAAATAGCTACTGTGATG